TGATTTTTATTGTGCACATTTTGATGATTTTTATTGTGCACATTTTGATATATTTTTGTCTATGTCTACTTTGTTTTTTTTTAAGAAAAAAGTTTAGGAAATGCGTGACCAAAAATTTCGAATGCGAGCTTGCATGTGGTACGTCAAGTGTGCGAGTGCATGTGGTACGCCACATGTCGCGAAAATCACTTTGGAAAAAATTGAGGAATTGGGCTGGGAAGTCCTGCCTCATCCGCCATACAGCCCAGACCTGGCACCATCCGATTACCATCTGTTCCGGTCGATGCAGCACTCCCTGGCCGAGAGAAAGTTCACAAACCGCGAAGAAGTCCAACTCTGGGTGTCCAACTACTTTGAGTCGCAGCCGGCCGAGTTCTTCGAAAGAGGAATCCATTCTTTGCATAAACGTTGGCAACAAGTCATTGATAGTAATGGAGATTATCTTTTGAATTAATCTTGTTTAATTTCTTATAATAAATTTTTTTAACTCAAACGCGCATTTCTTTCCGAACAACCTAATAGTTCTCCATTATTACAGCTGCTCTTATGCTGCGTTCATACTTCGCGTCAGTGTTTGAGTGTATGACAGCATTTTTAAACGACGCCTGCGTTTTCAGCGACTGCCTGCGAAAAGCTCAAAACTAACCGCGAATCGCTAAAACATCGGCACACACTCAAAACGCTAGATCGATACCTGTACTTTTCCACTGGCTCAAAGGGCCGTTATCGCTCAAAACGCTGAAGCAAAGTATGAACACACCTAATTCCGGCATGATTATCCCCGCAGGCTATCGATTCCGAAGACTGGGACAATCCAGACATACGTTGTTGCACCATAAGACAAGCTCTTACAATACAAGGAGGCAAGGCTGTCACCGCCTTTGCGAAGTAAGGCTGCACCCTGACGTCCATAGTGTTCATTGTGGAATCCGAAACAAGAGGTTATACTTGTTCTGATGATTTTTCTTATATCTACGGTTTTTTTAATCGTTTGGCCACCCTCATCCTTACTTGTGACGTGACGTCGATTTTGCACCACATCTAGCGGTTGATCGGATGACTGTCTATTCCTGCCCCTCACCCACCATGCCCTACGTCGGATGCCATGTTGGACAATAGCAGGGGTTCTTGATAAAGTTTGGCGCAGCGGCACCGGTTGTTGAGGCGATCCAGCCACAAGTCTGTATCATACAGTTCTTATCAGGCGTTTTCCACCAACTGTCTCGCTCACCCGCTCCAACAAGTGGTGGAGAACTGGACTCGGCGCCGCGCTAAACCAATCCCGCCTGACACGCCCCTTCATCCACTGCGAACAAGATGTATATCACGGGAATGTTCGGCACATCTACACACAAAACAGAAACCACGAGCAGTCAGCCGAGCAACAACGTTTAGGAATCAACCTCAGAAGTTGACTGTATACTGACGCAGGGCTCACACTAAAAAAGAAGCGCGTGTTTCAGCACATAGTTCCGACTAGAGCAATGCATAACATTATAAGAACTGGCAAAATATGATAGTGTTCGTGAAACTATATAGCTTACAAACTGTAGTAACACTCACTGTACGATGAAAAGTTTATGCTACGCAGATCACCAATGAAACTACAGAGGAAAAAAGTGATAACTACTAACATTCACGAAAAAAATGAGATGCAATCAAAAGTAGCCGTA